AATCTTGTGAGGAATGTCGAATTGCTACCTATAACAATCATATCATTTATGTAGATTATAATGAACATTATCTCATCTTTACTCTTCAAAATGAAAAGAGAATAATCACACTTCGAGTTTGTAAAACCCCATTTCAGCAAAGTGCTTTTCAATTTTTCAAACCAGGCCCTGGGTACCTATTTTAACCAATATAATGCCTTGTTTAGCTTGCAAACATAACTTTCTTTGCTCCTCTCTTCAAATCCTTCAGGCTGTTGCATAAAAACGACTTCTTGCAAATAGCCATTTAGAAAGGCTTTGTTTATGTCCAATTATAGAATGAACCAATTCTTTGTTACTGTAATTATAAGAATCACCTTCACTGTTGAGGCTTTAACTACTAGACTAAAGGTCTCACCATAGTCTACACTAGCATTCTAATGGAAATCCTTAGCTACCAGCCTAGCTTTACATCTATGAAAACTTCCATCAATATTTCTTTTCACCTTAAAGACCCACTTGTCGTCAACAAAGTTCATTGTTGTTGTTTTAGGCACTAAAGTCTAGGTGTTGTTCCTTTTTAAAGCATCAAGCTCCTCTCTCATTGCTTTCCTCTATATTTCATATTTCAAGACTTCATCTACTGAAATTAGTTCGACAACTTGACTACATTGTGCAAAATATAAATGAAAATCATATGAGTATTGTTTGGTTTTAAACACTCTAGCTTTTGACCTTGTTATCACTCCAAGAGTTTCAGCATTCTCATAACTCCTCTGTACTTCCATTTGCTCAACTTCATTTTTTCCAACATCATATTCAATTTCATTATCTTTTTGACCTTGTGAATGTTGTTCTAGCTCTGTATATATTTCAACAGTATTAAAACCTCCATAATCATTGCCTCCAGAAATTGGAAGTTGGGAATCAAATCCCCCTTCAACAGATAGTCTCTCCTCATCGTCTTCTAGTTGTGCAAATTTAGACTCTGATTTGCAAGAATGTGATATTGCACTAGAAACACCAGGTTGGTTTTTATTAGTTGAGTTGAAATTTTTGGTTCAAATAGTATTTGATAAAGGAAAAGTGAATCAATTAGGTATATTGACAATTATTTGTGCTTCTGGAGCTCTGGTATTCAGAAAAGTAGTGCAAAATAGAAATTCCCTCTCATTAAAGATCACATGTCGAGATATGTACACCCTTCTAGTTGAGCTTAGGCATTTATAGCCTTTGTGTGAATTGTTATAGTCAAGAAACACACACTTTACATAATGGAATTGAAATTTTTTATTTTGATAGGACCTTAGAAACGGATAACAAGCACACCCAAAAGCTTTCAGGGACTTGTAATTTGGTATCTTGTGTTAAAATTTTTCACAGGAACTTAGGTTGTTCAGAATTGGTGTAGGTAGAATGTTTATTAGAAAGGCAATTGTTTGAAAGGCTTCTACCCAGAATTTCAATGGGACTTTTGACTGAACTAATAAGGTAAGACCTATTTCAGTGAGGTGTCTATGTTTCCTCTTAGCTCTGCTATTTTGAGCAGAGGTATAAGGGCAAGAATACTGAATTTTGATGTCTTGTTGCTATAAATAATCAGTGAGTCTTATATTCTCCCCCCATATCAGAACAGATACACTTTATTTTTCTATCAAACTGGTTTTCAACTAAGTTCTTGAATTATATGAAGGTTTGAATTAATTCATATTTATGTTTTAAAAGGAAAATCCAAGTGAATCAGTTGTAATCATCAAGGAACAATGCATAATACTTATATCCAACCATAGAAGTGATTGGTGCAAGTCTCCACAAATTAGAGTGTATCAATTCTAAAGGGCTTGATGCAATAGTGATGGATGGAGTGAAACGTAACAGATAAGACTTTACTAATTAACAGGCTTCACATAAAGGAAATTAAGAAAATTAATGTTTTTCATTAGCAACAAATTTTTCGTTATATGTTTCAAGAACTTTAACAATAATTTTAGGGGTTGGGTGGCCTAAACGTCTGCGCCATAATTCTAACTTTTCAGAGTATATAGAATTAGTACTCAAACGAGAAACAAAAGCTTGGTGTAGAGATTGGTTGGTGTTTACTTTAGGTTAGTGAATTAGCTCGACTTGATAAAGT